CAAGAAAATGATAAGTGCCAACCACTTAGTGTGTGTGGTAGTTAATTGGCGAGAAGTACGATCCGACCTCCTTGTTCTTCAGTGAAATTATTTTTTCAAAAATTCAGGATTTAAAGATTTATGGTAATTTTTTAAAGAAAATTCGATAAGGCGGGGTTGAAGGGTCCCACAGTAAGCCTCAAGAAATCATTGGAACATTGGTTCGAAATTATATAATATTTGAGTCTATTTAAAATCTGAAAATTAAAATTGAGTTTGGTAGTAATTAGAGGCTAAATTTTTTATTTATTATTATTAAATGAGATTTTTTGTAAAATTCGGAATTGAATTTGCAAGCTTTTCAAACATTACAGATTTACTAGACCACCAATATTCTCTTACAAATTAGAAGCAAGTGAGCGCTTTCTGACTAAGCCTGCTTCATTGGCTAAAAGAATGAGTTAATTTTGCTTAAAATGAAGTAGAAAGGAGGTGGAGGGAGAGGAAATTCCAAATAGCCCAAGTTATTATATTCTTAAGTTAAATATGTCATATTCAGCAAAAGAAGTTTCTATATAAAAAATGAAAAATATAAGTTATAGACTATGCACGAAAAAAAATCAGATTATTAACCTTTTGCAAACCAAAATTGTATAAACAAAATAGAAATAAGGCTCATTTAAAAGAAAGAATGATACTTGAACGAAAATATAAGACTGAGTTTTCAGATTCAGTATATAGTAAATGTTAGCAAATAACTAAATCTCAAACAAATTACATGAAATTTCGAATTTTTCTTCGGAAAATTAGCCTATTGCTGTAATTGTCAAGCTGGCTTAATAATCGTTTTTTTAGTTGAACGCCTCAGGCAATTATTATTTAAAACATAGAAAATATCAATTAGTTGTATGCAAAAACTGCATTAAGATTAAGAATTTAGTGATTTCATCTTAAATTCTAAATTTTTCCCCTAAACTGACAAACTGATAGAATATGCATTAAAGGAACGAAATTAAAGAAAAAAGGAACAAGGCTTATAGAACGTTCGACTGGTTATTACGATGAGATGACTTGTCGGAGACCATCTCGATGGGTGAATGCCTAACGCATTTTGGTATAAAGCAATTCGAGCAGTTGAGAATGAATTCTTATTCTTTGCCCATCATTTCCTCGAAATAAATTATTTCAAAAAAAAATTTATTTACGGTAAATTTGTTCGAAAAACATTCGTCGTTTAAAATAAATTTGGTCAATATTATTAAATATGGACTTAAATATGGATTTTTAAAAAAATGCTTTAATATTGCTGCATTTTGCGAAAAAAATTTTTAAAATTAAATTAATCTCTTTTAAATAAAAAACAAACGCCTTTAAAATAAAGATTTATTAAGGCTTTATAAGTGCCATATCGATAAAACAGAAAGCATTTATGAAACGAATGAAAATTCAGGCGTTTCAGACGAAATGATAAATTTATAAGACTTTGCTGATCCAGTGAAAACATCGGTATTATCAGTTTTTCTCTTTTTTCTGCTGCCTTTCGTAATTTCTCGTTTGGCTAATCCCATAGATTCCTAGGATCAATTCCCTCTATTAAAGAGACTGCTGCACAACCAATGTTTCAGACAAAGATCGAGGTGAGTTCTCTGCATCATCCATTATTTCATTCCAGAAGGAGCAGTGGATGATGCCTAACTTCAGTTGCATCAACATTCGACCATCCTTGCCTCGCATTTACATTGCCTTGTTGTTAAAGATTAAGTTTAAATCTTGGAGAAGTGTAAATGTCAATAAATTAAAAATTTTTTCTTTTTAATAAAGCATTAAATGAAACAATGTTCATAAAAAATTGTATTTTATGTTAATAAAGTAAAATTTCACAAATTTCAGAGAAAAAAACCTTTTGGCAATGAAATTTTTATAGAAAAAGTGATAAAATGTGATAAAATAATTTAAAATGTATACAAAAAAAACAAATTTAGTTATTAAATACTAAAAATTCTGTTAAATCAAAATTTTATTCGATTAAAAGAAAACATAGAACGGGATAGTTGTGTAACAAATATCGCCTCGACTTGGATCAAATTAATGTATTGCTCTCTCTTGAATTTAGTAAACATGGGCCATTAAGAGGAATTCCTAGTAGTTCTTGGGATATGTCCATGATTCTATCTTCAAATGACTCCCCTATGGCTATGAGGTCTCGCATTAATAAGTGAGGAAGCCAGCTTTACCAGAAATGGCGAAATAAGAATTTCCATGCATTAATTATTTCTTCAGATTAAAAAAAATCGAACTTAAAAATCTTTCTTAGATTATGAAGTTCTTTCCTGTAATTTCGACCTTTTAGTTAACGTATTAAAGCAAAAAATAAATTTATAAATTTTAATTAATTTTTTCTTCTATAAATAGAAAAATTTTTTTTTTGATTTTTTAAAAGTGAAAAAAAGCTAATTAATATTTTATTCGAATTAAATTCCAACATAGGTGTTAAAAATTTTTGCTGGAAAGGGCTTTAGCCACGGAAGTAGATGGCTCTCTAGCACTACACGGATTTTTCAAAGGCAAGTTTGCTCGTACCCTTCTAGAAGAAATTTACACTTTGGTGCTTGATCGAAGCAAAACCAATTGGTTATCCCTCTCCAGATTTTTAATATAAGAATAAAACTTATTTCAAATCTACCACGAAATACCTTATCGGCAAAGAAAGTTGATATTGATTGATTGGAATACTAACGGTCTTGCGTAATATTCCATATGCAAATATTATAGAGTGGCTAGAAAAAGCAGGACAGCACTGAAGTATTGATCAGAGCAGATAGAATTCAAGGTTCAGAATATCCAGAAAGGCACCAATTGTCCAACACATAATGACAGGATATAAGAAGCAGCAGGAATATTAAAAAAATATAATCAAGTAGCTGGTAAGTAAACAAGTCTACAAGAATATCTCAATAAGGGTTTACACTCTCCCGAGGCCACATGGGAGATCCGCCAGAAAATCGAAGAATAATAAGACTAAAATCCTGTAGTCTGCTCCAACCAGATAGACAAATACTGGCCAATCAGTCAGATATGGTAGACAAAAACCAGAAAAAAATTGCTGATAGATATAATAAGGAATATCAAGAAGAAACAAGAGAATATAGAGAAATATCAGAGGCTGAAAGAGGAAAGGAACTAGAAGAACTAGAGGAAAGCTGAAGCAGTCTCAGCGTCACTAGATGCTGTGGCTACTAAACTGGGAAACAAATTGCTCCAACAGATTCAAGAAACAATTCAGAGATCTCTATCCAGAAGATGCGCTATGTTTTGATCATTTTTCGGGTTAAATTTCTATATTTAATATTTAAAAAAATATTTAAACTACTGTCTTCAAAATTATTTGAAATTATTACTATAATTTTATAATGTAATAATTCATAAGCAAAAATTTGGAATGAAAATAATAAAAATTTTTAAATAAATTAATATAAATTAATATAATATATAATATATATTAATATAAAAAATTAATAACATAATAAATTAATATAATATAATATAATATAATAAATTAATATTAAAAAATTTTTAAATTATATCATAGATTTTAGATTTTAGAAACCAAAAAACATTCGATTAATTTAAAATTCTTTTTCTAACGGCTCCCACCATTACTGGCAGGTTGGTTCCGCAAGTACAAATCGTTGAATCAATTTGTTTCAGGTATATCTACATGGCAATAAAAAATATTTAAGGCAAAAAGTAGTTCTCATAATGTCATTAAAAATTTCAAAGTTAAACCCCTTTTCTCAGGAAAAATTTTAAAATGTGGGGCACTCGTTCGATAAATAGGCATCGCCAAATATTTTTAGAAATGTGGGTATTAGTTCGAAATAGGCATTGCCAAATATTAATAATAAGTAATGAAAATTACTTATTATTTATTTGTTAGATGTGAAATTGACTGAAAGTAGCAAATAAGTATTTATGGTAAAAACTTATCTTGAGGCTTCTAAAAACTTGTGTTGATGTTCGTAGGTTTCAAGATACAGGCAGAAAGGTTCGCATGATTTATAACGGTATCTGTTAAAATTATAGTGTATATATGCAAATGTGGTGAAAAAATCGTGAAATTTCGCTCCTTGTTTTATGGCAATATATAACCTTTAAAGTTCCATTATACATTGTTCGTTTAGACTTCTTCAAATCACCCTTTCCTCTCCGACGAAGATGAAACGAAGGTCTTTTATATTTTATCTGCAATTCCTCTGAGGTCTTCCTCTTATGCTTCATCATACTCTTCAGCACTCCTCGTGCGTATAACTTATGTCGCCTTAATGTCATCCGATATCCCTTTAACGCATATTGTGATCGTCTTCACTATCTCGTCGGAATCCTGTTAGCGTTTTATCGAATAAATCTTTTTGATGAACTTTACTTCTTCTATGTTGGAACGCCGATGCCGTGCAGGAATAAACCCTTCCTTCAAAAGTCCAGGTGAACCTGGTGACTTACTCGGCCTTCTGTCGTCTGTTGATTCCTTAGCAAAATTTGTTTGATATGACAAGCCTGTGGAGCTTAACCATTTGTATTTCAACCTAAATGTCATTCTTTAATGGATTAAAAATTCTATCTATGCAGACCTTAACAGATCGTCTCACCTATAACAATACAACAAAACAGGCAGTTGCACAGAAATTAGTTAGCTGCAATTATTGCAGAATCTAGATCTTGAATGGAGCGTATTTGCACTGTATATTGCGTGCGCGAGGATGAATTTAAGAATATCAGAAGTGAAGTGTAAGTTTTTGTCCTGGGATAGGGAGGTCATTTGGAAAGGTTTGGGGTTGCTGGAAGTTCCTGAAATGTGTGAAGCTCGGGTTTGAATCCATTTGGATTCTTAATTTCGTCATCAGATATATTCATTTTTAGTCTTAGCGCTATGAAACATTTGTTTGTCTTATTTTTATTTATTTTCTAACAATTTTCTTCTTAATTATTATTATTGTTGTTATTATTATTGTTATTATTGAAGAATGTCAGCGACGCTTTCGAAAATTGAGAAAAAGTTTAAACAAAAATACGATGAATTTGTTTCTGGTGGAAAGCTTGAAGAAGGATTGGAGAATATAGCTGATTCAGTTGAGACATTAGCTGATCGAATTTTCCCGTCCGAAAAGAAAAAGTCACCGCCAGTGCCTATTTTCGTTGAAGTTGTAATTAGTACGGGCACGGGATTGTATGTTTTCACTAATTTTTAATCACTAATTATTTCATTTCTTCTTTTATTTTATTTTGGTACATTATTGTCGCCTTCCTTTTCTTTTCTTAATTTTTTCTCAATAACGAGCTACTTCAAGAATCTGATGAAAACTGTGGATCCATGTTAATGCATTTCGTTCATTCCTTTTCTTCATCTTAATTTTTGACGAGAAATAAAAGAATTTATAAAAGAATTCCATTCGTGGATCTCCCAAATAACGTCACTTGGGAATGGGATAGCCTAGTAATTGTTGGTTATATCGTCTCGAGTATAAAAATTATTCTTCCCTCTGACAGGAGTAAACCTGTTATCAAAAAGTCCGAGTGATGTGTGAGATTGTACTTCCATCATCAAAATGATTTTCTGGCAAAAATTGCTTGTACCAATAGCAAACGATGCACGAATGGTGGGCACTAACCACTTTCATTTCACTTAAATGTCCACAAGTTGAGGTGAAGAAAAAGTAATTGTGAGCTTAGAAACTGGGTCTTTTGATTTAATTAGTGTATTAGTGATTTTAGTCATAAATTATAATTATAATTAATTACAAATTCTTTAATTTCTATTAACATTTCTCAATTTATTTGATTTGAATAAATTTCAGTGTGACTGGTTATATTTTTACGAAAAGTAGTAAAATATTGGCAAGCGCCATTGGTTGCAGTCTGTTGCTGTTTCAGGTTTTCATATTCTGTTTTCAGAAAAATTTTAACAGTTTATTTTCTTCTTAAATTTTCAGTATTAAATTTAGTTGAAAGAAAAGTAGTTTTAACTTTAAACTTATGACGGGACTTTTTTCTAATATCATTTTTCTAAATCAATTTCTTTTCGATTCACTACGTATTTATGTCCATTTTTGTATTAATTGGATCCTTTTATTTTTTATAATTTTTTTACTTCTTTTTTTGGACATTTTAAATTTATTTTTGCTATAAAATTTGGCTATTTGTAAATAATATTAATTTTTAATGTGTTTTGGTTTTGGTCGATTTGTTTTGATACGCCAAGTTCTTTTTCAAATTTTTAAATATTTTCTTTTTTAATCATGAATTTTTAATTGATTTTTGGAAGATTTGTTGAGACATTTCTTAAAATTTCTTGATTGAAAAAGCTTTTTTTATTTGAGCCCTTTCTTTCAATTCATTTGACGTATCTCATTAAAATATTCAACTTCGTGAAACTTCATTTCTTATATTATTTTCATTATTTGCTTTTGTTCGCATAAAGCTGATTAATTAGATGAATACTAATGATTTTTTTAGCGAATATTTTTTCCAGCGTGATCAAAGAAATTAAAAATGATAAATGGAGAAAGTATTACGGAGTTTCTTGATAAGATTCCATTATGGTCGAAATATTTGCTTTTACCACTGGGGATATATACTGCAAGTCGTCTTCTCAATATTTTGATTCCTGGACCTCAACATCAACGAAAGTTAGAGCTGAGTAATCGAACCGTCTTAATAACGGGAGCAAGTTCAGGTTTAGGTCGTGAACTTGCAATGCATTTTTATAAGGCAGGTGCACGAGTGATTTTAACTGCTAGAAGTGTTGCGAAATTGGAAGAACTTTGTAAGGAGTTGAAGGCATTAAAAAATGTGGAAAATGTAAATGAACCTGCGTATACATATCTAGACGTTTGTGAGCCGAAAGATTTCAATGAAATTCTAGAGTTGTCTTCAAATGGAAAAATTGATGTTCTTGTCAATAATGCAGGCTTAAGTATGCGAGGTAGCTGTTCTCAAACTTCTCTGAAAGTCCATAGACAGGTAATTTATTTTATTCAAAATGATGAGACCATGTATGCGTATAGGAAATGATTTTTTAATTTTCGATTTTTTTTCTAAAATCCCCCATTATTCTAGTTATGCTCGCTCCGAGTTCATCGAGTTATGGTGATAAAAATAGAGATGAGTTGCTAGTATCACCCGATTTGAAACATTTACTTTTGTCGAAAGTAAAACTTCATTTGTGCTCCAAATGACTGTAACAACCCACTGAGCTATTCTACCTCAATTTCGGTTATGTTCGTCGAAATAAATTGTTTATTCTATGTTTTGGTTTATTTTTGCTTTATTTTCAGCTTATATTTTAGTCCTGATTACTCTTTTATATTTTTATTTTTCGTATGACTAATTATTGAAATTTTTAGTTGATGGATGTAAATTATTTTGGATGTGTCGCAGTAACCAAGGCACTTCTCAGTTATATTCCGGATGATGGTGCGATTGTTATTGTGAATAGTGTGCAAGGTCGCATTTCTGTGCCATATAGATGTGCTTATTCTGCAAGCAAACATGCAATACAAGTAATTATATCCAGTTTTTTTACATTTTCATTATTTTGAGTGACAATAGAGAAATCGGATTACTTTTGTCATCAATAAATTTATCTGAAATTGAATCGATTTGGTTGCTTTAAACATAATAGGAATTTTCCTTCAATTTTTGGAGTTATTGTTAATTCTTCATATTCTTGTTTTTATGATATTTTTGCTCAGTAATTCCAGAGTTTTGAATTTTTTTCTTCAGTCGGCTATTCGATTATAGGCATACTTCGACTGTCTTCGTTGTGAAGATCGTCCGAACCTACAAGTATTGGTGGTTAATGCTGGTTATATGAATACAGGAATGGCCAGTCGTGCTCTAAATGCTCAAGGCAATGCAACTGGAGAAAACGATGAAAATCAGTTAAAAGGAATGGAGCCTGATTATGTCGCGCAGCAAGTTATTAAGGCTCTTGAAAATCGTCAGATTGAGATCTTTTTAGCTCCTTTACATCATCGTTTTGGCGTTTTCCTTCGTTGGTTTTGGCCCTCTTTATTTTTTTACCTCAATTATCGACGAGGAAGAAAAGAGCGCAAAGTTAAATAAGATATAAGTTATAAGAGTTTTTTTGAATATCTTATCCAGTATCTTGAATATTTGTGTTGAATAGTTTGATTTTTAGTTTTTTAGCATTTTGGAAACATTTTTTGATTTTATGGCATATTTTGACTGAAGTGGATGTTGCACATTCCTTTCCTTAGTTCTAAAAATTTCTTTTTAAAATTTTTTGTATATTTTATCTAATTTTACCTCTTTATCTTGACTTAGATTCCTACCTTAAAAAAATTTCATTTCCCTTTTCTGCAGTAATTCATCTTTTATTTTTTTTTTGTATTTCTTATTTCATTTTTTTTTAAAGTCAATATTTTAATTATTAGTATTAATATTATTTTCGCTGAGCATGAATAAGATTGATAAATTGTCAAAAATTTTATCGTTCTTTTCTGTGCTATGCTATCAGCAAGACATGTTGTATAATTGTTTGTGGTGAGATCAAACTGGACAATATGGCAATCTTGGCAAAATTTAAAGTTATTTTTTCTCCGTTTCGATTTTATACGTTATAAGAATCACCAGTAGAAGAATCGAAGTCGTTCATTAACAATTTTATGTAATATCGCAAAAACGTAAAGTTTTCAAGCTGTTCCACACTACTTTTTCTTTGAAGTGTGCTTTTTATACATATATATATATATATTGAGGATTGGATTTAGCTTTTATTTATGAAGTCTCGTCATACACTTTTTTACACACTTTTTTGCCTTTATTTCTGAGTGATAGCTCACATTTTTAATTAACAAATTTGATTTTTTATTTTCGGAATTTAGTGCTTTCATCAGAATTTAAGACATTTTGTAGGTTTGTGTGCATAATGAGTATATAAAATTGAACAGGTCAACGATGAAGGAGGAAATTAATCGAGCAGTTAAGGTTATCGAGAGAAAAGATGCATCCTTGATACCGAAGGTAAGGCACAAGGAGCATAAATTTTCAAGATTGCCATTACAAAGTGAAATAAAGTTTTTCTTGCAAACTGAAACAACCAATTTTTATTGTGGCATACCTATTTGCATATGAATTTTTTCTATAACATCATTTCTGGCTAGGCTAATTTCCGATGTGGTGCTTGGCAAAGCCAGAGAGCTGCGTGGGGATAGAGGTATAAGGCGACCCGGCTTTTATAATGTAAAGTTCTGGGGCATGGGCTGAACATAATGTTTAATAATTTGCTTATAAATTGTTTTTATTTTCTCAATGAAAATCTTAATTTTACAGGTCATGAAATTTGTTGAAAAGCACTCTTTTTCTCTTTGTGGCTTTACAGCTGGTTGTTTGATTGGTTATGCCATGGCATAGTTTGATATTGGCGGTTATTCACTGAATTTTTTGATTGATAAGTTAACCATGTTTTATTTTATATTTTATATATAGTATGCAAGATTCTACCCTATGGCGGTTATTGAGAAAGGTTATTTTTAGTTATATCTCATTTCTCTATGTTTGAAAGAATGAAGGTATTGATCTGCTTGAGTAATTTATAAAATAATACTTTTTATGCGACTAAAACACAATTCTAAAAAAAAGGTATATAGGTATAAAGGTAAGGTATAAAGGTAAAGGTAAAGGTAAAAGGTAAAGGTATAAATATATAGAAAAAAAGTAGATAGATAATCACGATTTATTCATATTGCCTTTCCATTTTCTTATTTTTTAATTTCTCAATAGGTTTTAAATTATAATTCATTCGCTTGTTTTTTCAATGCAGAATTAATGTTTATTTGAGATTATAATGAATTTTGACCAGAATTCACAAAAATTTTAATCTATTGCAAATTTTTTGGTGATAGATAAATGACTTTTTATCATAATTTTATTCTTTATATTTTTTAGAAATTAATTGTTATAGAGCACCAAAGGTTTTGGGAAAAAATGTGGATCTCACTTATGCTTATTTCTTGTTTTTTGATTTATAGCTGCCAAGTTATTCAACAACGCCATTAAAATTTCTTGCAAAAATTATTTTTATTCGCACAAATTTTAGTGATTTCTCCGAAATCGCTTCTTATTTTGCTAATTGATAATATCCAAATTATTTTTGCAATATTTCTCTTTATAAATCCAACTAAATTTGGCTTAAAAAAAAATTCATAAAATATCGAAATTAATTTTATGAAATATATTTTTCCGAATTTCTTTAAAACAAACGACTATAAATTAAATATCGAAAAATGATCGAATCTCAAGAAGATATTCAAAGAAAAATTTTAATTCATGAATTCTTATTTATCGCAACTTTTCTGCTAAAAAATTTCGTTCGACAGTGGTAAGGATCGAAATTCTCTTTCCATAAATTTAAATATAGGAAGTAAACAGTCTAGATCCTGGCATTCCGTGAAAACAAATGCAAGAACTTCTGGGAAGCAGTATCCTTCATCTCATAAAAAAGCAATTCGATAGTCTCGTAAATTAAGAAATAATAAGTTACTTTTTTAATGGTGAAAGTAATAAGCAAAACTGTTTGGTTGATATGCTCAACGAAGTATTACTTTAATTAAAAGCTAAAAGCAATTATTTATAAAAAATTGAAAAACAAAACAGCAAAAACAGAACAATATTTAAAATAATGTAATAATAATTACAATTATTAGACATGTGAATAGTGAATTAAATTCGTTGTTTGTTATCAGTGGATAGCGTCAATGGTTTCGACCAACAGCAAAACGTTTTTCTGTGACTCTTAAACGAACGAACTAAGGAAGAAAAAAAGCGACAAGGCATGTTTTTCTTTAAATTTCATTGATATTGCGTAGCCAAAGTGTACGGCCTTTGCCGAAAGTAAAATGGGATTTATGACTGCTAAGATTTTCAAGAGCAGTTTTTTGCCATGAAAATGAAGCGCTAAAATAAAGAAAATGAAAATAATCGAAAATCAAATCATTTTTCATTATTTCATTCTTAAATGCAATCATTTTACAAATGGAAAAGTTAAAAAAGATTTCTTCTTAGCACATCGTAAGCAGCTTAAAATATTAAACCTCTAAATGGCTTAATACTTTGCAGTTGCTGAAAGAGTTCTATTGCCATGAATGCAATCATTTTACAAAAACGAAAACATGCATGCATGCGGATAAAAGTAATCATCGAAAATCGAGGAAATATTTATAAGATAAGAAAGAAGGATGAAAAAATGGAAGGCCAAACAGAGCAAAAACATTCAAGACTTTTAAGCCAAGCATGAAACAATAAAAAATTTGGCACTATCGCTTTTTCTATGATTACACAGTTTACACAGTTATTTTAAGGCTAAAATCCAGATTAAAAAATGATAGAAGAATGAAGAATGAGCAAAAATATCTGAATCCCAGTTCAATTATTTATGTCAAGGAGGAATTTTTCAAGATTAAAAATGTGGCAGAAGTTGCGTTCGAGCTTGCAGAAGATCCTTCGTCATCAGCGTTATTTGTGGAACATATTTCCCCAGATTCAGTCTTTATAAATTGTGCATAATGATTTAATTCCTTAATTTCCGTCTTTTGAGACTCTGCTGGAATGGCGATCGCTTTTTTGACATTGGTTACCAGAAAAGGATGCAACGGAGACATCGAGGTATGCCTGCAACTTTTCCGAGCTTTTTTTGATTAGAAAAACTTTGGACTCATTCATAAAAATGAGCGAAATCTCACCATCGAACGAAGCAAAGCCACCATACAGCCACTGTACTAAGACAATTATTTTATATTTTCCATGCTTTTATATTCTTTTATACTCTTTTGTATTATATATTTCTTTAAATTATTCCTCCATGAGTACATAAAATTGAGTACTTCTGATGGCTTCTTCTTTTATTTATTTCTCACTGTTTTTCTCATCCCAAACAATGAAATTAGCCAGATAAAAGAAAACTAGAAAAATCAATAGCCTTAAAAATATAAAGAATAGTGTTTCTAATGGCATCCAAAAATGAAAAAATTCAACCTTTCTTCGATGTTTCCGATGTATAAACAATCAGGTATTGCGGTGAGTATTGCAGGTAATAAAACGAGACCATGAAGAAGACCCCAACCTACGACCAATGCTATGGCACGTATAAATACAGAAGGTATATAATCGGGGTGAAAGGCAATCGGTAAAAAGCAAATTAATGTAGATATGGCAGCTTGAATCATAGGCAGTCCAACGGAATCCATAGTATATATGAGGCGGTCAGTTTTTGATGAGCCTCTGCAATATAAAATTTCTTCGAATTAAGTATTATGTGTTATGATATCGCATTTTAGTTGGTTAAGACGTGTCGCACTTTTTAATTTAAATTCTATGAATTCACAAAGAATATAACTTGGAAAATAGAAATGAAACCGAAAGATAAGAAATCTCAATGCATCGCTGTAAAACATGAAAAGAGTGCAATATATACGATGGCAAAAGCTGTTGAGACCGTTGATAGTGGTACGATACATGGGCAGTATAGTCAACGGAAAATCCAATTGACATCACAATAGCTGACATTGTCACTGGATCAAGATCGAGACCCCACCAAGAAAGGAAACCAAACACACCTGAAAGCTGACGTAAATTGAATGAAATTCAATTTCCTCTATTAACAATTCTTCTTTTTGTTCTCCCAGCTCACATGATTACTGAACCATTGTAAGATCTGCCTTGAAATTGTATCATATCGTGATAGAACATATAGCATAGCTGGCCTACTGTTTTAATTTATGCAATTAGTACAAAAGAGTGATGGCAAATGCAATTACTTGAATTCCATGGGATCACTTTAAGCAAATAATTTCACTTCTTTTGGCCATGTATGTCCCTATGGCCAAGGAATTGTGCAAACTGTAGCCATATGGATACGAGCTTTCGTTTTGACGTTAATTTTGCGGCCATTCCGCAAAGGTTTTGCCAGACGAAAAGAATCATTTCTATATGCAACTACCCGTGCTGGAGTTTCGTCTTTCTCTTTGGGCATAAAAGTGGATCCATGTTGTTGTTTACTTATTCAAAATGAAAATGGTGGGCTAGACAAGCCACATGCTCCATTAATATCTTTCTTTCTATATAAACACTAACCCAAACTTATTGAACAAATTGCCCATCCAGCAGTTAAAATCCCAACCACTGATGGAATGAAAAGCATGCACACAATGAGCATACAGACAAGTGTTATGGCAGCAGTTTGTATAGTTGTTCCTTTCAACTGAAAAATTCCCTCATAAACTGCTGCGTTCTTCGAGTAGATCGTCACATTAAATTTCTGCCAGCGATCAGCAACATCTCGCCACCTAAAAGAACTGCGAATAATAATAAAAGTTTGAGACGAATATATGAACCGGTCCTTCTATTCAATAATTACTGTTTAATTTTTTTTAATTTTTAATTTAATTTAATTTAACCTAAGCAACAGATTTGCACGATCCAACCACGAGGACGAATTGCAGTAAGCAGTTATGAAGTAAAAAGCTTCCACTTGGACTTTACCTCTGAAATATAACAACTTTCAGCTAAAATCCAGATTTTAATAATTTGGAATTTAAAGATCGGATTCCTTATGTTAAATCCGATCTTCGCACGAATATCGCACGAAAGCAGTGCGAAAATTCATAGGTTTTAAATTAAATTCAAGTTACCAATAGAACTTACAATGGGTCCATGGACCACCGTACGAAATCTTGCCAAAACGTAAAGTGTTCCAGAAACCGCGGCAGATGATCGTACGAGATTCCAATTTCGATACCCATAAAAGCCATTAATTGATTTTCTTCCCAAATAAGCTTTAAAAGAAAATAAATTCGAAATTCAAAGGAAAACTAAACTACAAAAATAAATAAACAATAGTCTACTCTTTAAAATTCTATGAAGTTCAAATGAAAATTTTTTTAAATTTTCGAAAAATTCTGTCGTTTTGAAAGCTGGAAGAAAGTAATATTTGGTTTATGAATGAATGAATGGTTTATTATTTTAATTCACCTTTTCTAAGTCATATAACCAAAATATAGTTGAGGAAGATCCAATTGCTTGTGGAAGACTTTCAAAATCTTCAATCATCGTTTTAAGCTCAGCAAGTTGTTTGGAATCACTTATGTTAGGAGGCCGATTAACATAAATTTGTAATGGTTCATATTCCTGAAATCAACTGAGGATAAATATTTCAACATTAATTTGCATAATTTTGAAACCTCACCGATCATTCAAAAAGATTTCTAAATCAATGATTTTTACCACAAATACCATTAAATAATAGTTTGACAGATGAAAATGAAAACTATGAAAATTTCACAGAAAAATTTCAAAGCTTTTACCTTCCAATGATAGTTTTTAAATAATGTATCTGCAGTTAACAGTGGTGAATCGTATGGTATAATTTTTTGTGCATTGATATAGGTTTTCACGCGTAACGTACCAATAAGGCTAACAGTGAAAAAGATTAGGATGAATATTAAAATGAACAATCGTGTCATATTCATCGTAATGAATTGACAATAACAATGTAGCAAATGATTGAATACCTAAAATAATAGCCCAGATACCGAGAAAAAACTACACTGGAGATTTAGGCAAAAATTTTTGATTTGACAACACCGACCAATTTCATTTCATATCCGGGAAAATTTTAATTAATATTAAAGATTTATGGAAATATACCAAGTTTATTTAAAATTATTTAATTTTTAGAATTAATTTTACCTTACAATCTTTGAACTTTGTAGAACAAATTTTCCAGTTTTTGCCATTTTTAAGGCTATTTGTTGATGGTGCCTTAAAAATCTTTGATTATGATTGGGTAATTTAGCAACTGATATTGCACATATTCATTTTCACGTATTTAAAAACTGAATACTGAGCAACCTTTTCAAATCTAGCAGCAAGCGATAGAAATGCTCCAAAAAATGTCAACTCAAAAGTGAAATCCATAACCATCGCAATTGAAGCAGCCAAACAAAAAAGCTGCAAAGAAAATTACTAAAAAATTATGAAAAACTAAAGATGAGCGAAAATATAAAAAATTAGATAAAGTTTGAAAAACTTCCACAACCATTTTTTTCTTATCTTCAGCTCGTTTAAATCAAAATTGAAGGCAAGAATATACCTGAATTGCGGGTGTCGATATCGTACTACCAACACCAAACGCAATCGCATTAGTAAGTGAAGTAATTGTTATCGAAGGGCCAACCTGTAGGGTTTATTTTCAGTAACTGAGTATATAAAGTGAAGAAGAATTTTAAAAAATTAAGTAAATCCCAATAAATTATAAATGGGAAATTTTTCTATAGGAGCGATATAAAATTTGTTAAAAACCTCTTCCAATATTTTTCCAAACATGAAAGGAATCATCTTATATCTCTCGTCAATTGATAAATGATCATACGTCGGTAACTGACGTTTCCATGCATGAAGCATGAGAAAAGCATCATCTACTCCTGCAAAATCCAGTGCTATATTTAAAAAAACTTGACTATAAGTCAATTTTCAAAGTAAAATTAGTCCTTTATTTAAATTCAGGCATCACCGAGATTATTAAAATAGGAAAAGAATCCAAAATTCAATCAGCGTAAGAACAACTGATTTGAAATTATTAGCAGCATACCTATGGCGAGGATCAGAAATGGTATGACCATTTGAATCGGATAGATTTCCACTTGAGCTAAACCAATCATTCCAAATGTAGTGAATACAGCAAGAAGAGGCGAGAGAATAATGCCAATTACAATTAGGATCTAAAATATATGAATATATAAATAATACAATGAATATATAAATAATAAGTGATATAAAATGACAAATGATAACAAATGATAATGATAATAAATAATAAATAATACAAATAATAAATGATAAAATGACAATAAATGAAATAATAAATAATAAATGAATATATAAATAATGCCAATTATAATTAGGATCTAAATATATGAATGTAGTGGAAAATAAGGATTCCGATAATATGTATTTCTAAGCACAGAAACAAAAATCCAAACAATGGAAAAAAACTACCTTGCCAAAGTCAATTCGTCGATTTTCTATTGAAGACACGATTACTGATAACATTACAAACATAACCGATAAGCATAAACCAATAAAGAGATAAGGCATCATTGATAATCCACCTCGAAACATTTCAAGACTAAGTACCTGAGCAAACAAAAAGAATTTATCGTAAATAATGTAAGAAATAGTGAATCCCAAGCTTATAAATCCATCACTTCCTGGAGGAAATACCCTAGTAGTAAATGGAACCAACCAGATCAGAAATACTGCTTGGCGTTAGATAAAGAATGTTTCCATAAGCTATCTCAACTTCACGATAAATGAAATTATTTCATGTAACAAATTCGACATTCACAAATTTACGAATATTAAATTGAATGTTGACTACTTGGATATAATACAAAGTAATGTTATCTTAAAAAAAGCAGACTTTATCGCCAAACACATCAATTCGCAATTCAGGAAACTGCGGCGCACCAGCTTTTGTCCACTCAAACACTGCCTCTTCCCAACTTGTGACCATATCCACAAGTTTCGGAGTAGGAGCTACGGCGTAAAACAATAACATTATCAAAGCAACATGTTCTATGTTTTCATTTGCGAATAAATCTATGCTCGAGGTGTTGACTTTTGTTTTGACTTCTTTTGTAGAAGTCTGCAAAAGACACCAAATTTTAATTTCTACATTTTGACAATTATTCATTAATATTCAATTTTAAATGTTGGAAAAATGAAGATAAATTATTTTTTGGATTGGCCAATAGCATATTTTGAAAAATAAACCTCATTCCCATTCTTCAAATCGACTGGTAACTTCACTTTCCGAACGTACTTTTTTACACCAAAAAGATGCTGGGCGACACTATATTCATACCTAAAATTCTTTTCAAACCTCAAATTTCAAATATCAAAACTAGAAGATTTAAAATATAAGTAATATCAGTAAGAATTTTCTTCTTTTCGTCAAGAATCTGCCATTGAAAAATCGATGAACCAGTAGCATTCATGTTGCTAAATGAATCCTTGACAAAAAATTCTCACCGTGCCACCAGCTAATAAAGCGAGAAAAGGTAGAGTAGTATAGTGAGACTTCACTGATTATTCGAAGAATATCAAGCCAATACTGCCGAATTAAAAATTATTTGAATTATATAAAAATTTCTAGCTCATTTTTTTTCATTTTAAAAGAATTCGACTCCAAAAGTACCAGTTAAACTAGATGTGAAGAAAACCAAACGAGGATCAAAAATACGAAATGCAGATCTCGAATCGCAAAATTTCCAAAAATTTCCAAAAATCATAAAAATGGTAAAAAATTTCATTCCTTTCTTCGATCCCTCTTTTTTTGGAATATCATTTGAAAAATCTTTTGGGACTCATGAATCATGAAATCAATTTTGTCGACGATAATCAATCAATTTACAAAAGAGGAATCCCTCAGTGGGTCGTTGCTCTTATTTCAGAGCGCCGTTGCTGCAGTTCTCAAAGTAAACTGACCTTGAAAAATTCTGATAGTGCAGGCGATCTAATTGTATCTCTATCGTCAATGATTCCCTGGTAATCAGTGGAGTTAGCTTAATAAAAATGGAGGACATCCTTTAAAAAAATGCACCAGAACAGATAAATTTGCGCAAGATAACCCATTACCCATCAAATGTGGATTTTGGATAATCGATGGCAATATTTCTCGATGGCAATTTCTTATTTCGTTTCGCGGCACGGAGAATATCTTGACTTTCCTGAAAATATTTTAAATAATTTTCAAAATCTTCATATTTTATGAAATTTCAAGAATAAATAATATTTATAAACAATAATTGTTTGTGATTTTAATTCATTATCAATTTAATTTCTTATTGTATTCGGGAAACTTGTGCCGTATAGAGAGAGCGATAACTAATGGGAATCTCTGGGAAATTCTTGTTGCATATATTTCAAATTTGCTACGCATTCTTCTCAAAAGGGGTTAGATTAATCGCAATCAGATGGAAGAAATTTTCGAACTTTGCTAGCTTTTACTTAAACCAAATCTTCATAACAACGTATAACCAGTCAAACCCAATTCCTTATCGTAACAACCATCTTTCTTCTTCAGATTATTCATCAACGGACTATTTGATAATTTTGTTAGCAGATTATTCAAGCACACATTATCTGTAGTAAAATTTAAAATTTAAAATCTACAGTACTTTTAAAATTTGTAAAGCTTTATTCACACCACAGCACTGGCCACAAATATCGGTATGACGAAATTTTTCATGACCTACGTTAACGATCAACGATTCGTTTAAATATTTGTGCACCTAAAATTACAAGAAGTCCAAATTTAAAGTATTAAAAGCGAAAGAAATTAAATAAACCGAAATGCTGAAATACTAATGATGCTTTTACAATAGGATTGATTTCATACCTCGAGAGCTTTTGTTAGGTACTCAGGCCTAAGCATGTTCCCGCCATCAGCAGCTTGAATTAATGCCACAAAAGTTTGCATATAGGCATAATCTGTTCCAGAAAATCGGAAACTAATTTCCTCTTCATAATGTGATGGCGCATCTCTGGATGTAAAACCATCCTAAAAATATTGGTTTCTTTTTATTAAATAATTATAATAAAAGCTCAATTATGTTTTTTCTTTTCAAAAGATTTGGGATAAAAAAAATGTCGAAAATTTTTATGAATTAAAAAATCTGCATTCATTTTTATACATTCAACGTTTTTCGAAATGAAATTATTCAGAAAAATCGCGATTGAATTCATAGATTGGTAAGTATTTTTCTTTCCGGATATACCTGTAAGCGAGGTGCGAATCTAAGATAAATTACGCCATAAGAGATCATGGAAAGTAATAAGGTAAAAATGATAAACACATATGGGAACGATGCAATTAAATAACCCACGGATAAAAAAAGTTTGCCCAATATTCGCAAAAATCCATATTTTATGTTATGGAATCTGAAAACATTAAGAATTATTATTAACGAGGCGGATTTTCCAATCATCGAAAATATATAGAAGGTTCTTTATCCATAGAATTTTTTTATAATTAAATGATTTTTTGTGATAATTTCTTCGATCTGCCTTATAAACCGAAGGTGAAACAAATGCTTACTATCAGAAGTGACCTAAAAGATTTACGTGGTTTTATTTATATGAATCCAGTTATGTTTTTCGATTTATCAACAAACTCTAATGTGAGAATGTGAGAAAATCAAATGGGTTAAAATTCAGACCTCATCAATGTACAAGAAAATTCGGCTGTAAAAAGTAAAGAAAGTTCACGATAAATTTTTTGTAGAAGTTATACTTGCAAAAAACTTGCCAAAATTCGTCAAAATAATTTAACAGATCCTTTAGCTCATTTTCGTTCCATGCTATTTGTTGTTATGTTTCAGATATGTAGACAAAATAAATGTATAAATACGTATAAATGCTATAGAATGAATCTCTTTATAATTTGCTTTCTTTTATTTTTCTTTTCGTGTTTATAGAACTTATTCATTCCATTTAAATATTATTGGTACTAAATATAAAGGCACTGTTATAATACTATTATTACTGAAAAAGAACTGAAATAAAAAAAGCCATTGATGCTTTGAGTTTTCTTACATTACTGTAGATGGTCAGCTAAGGTTTTATTTATTTCTGTTTCACCTCATAATGAAATAGAAAATAAAATTTTATAAAAACTTACCCCAGCCTTAAATGTTTATCGTCATTATTTTTAGCAAAAGTACTACTAGTTACATTGTTTTTATCGAATAGTTCCTTCTCATTTCGACCAGATAAATCCATGCTATTTATATGCAAAGAGTACCCAATCTTAAAATGAAGTAAATATAGTTGAACAGATTTAGGAAAAAGTTCGACAGTTAAGACAGTTCTTTTGAACAGAATATCTGACGAAACACTTAGCAAGGAATCAATATGTGAATTGCTTAGTAGAAATTAATATGTAAATATGAAATTAATATAATACTGCTTACTATAATCGCTAACCTGACATTTCTAGAAACAGGACAAAATGTTGCTGGGACTCACTTGAATTTCCATCTCGAAGTAATTCTCTGGTAAAATTGGTCTCATTCTACAATGAAATTTAACCAGAAGTGATGAATTTTAGCCTCTTATTTATTTTCTTTTTTCTTTTTCTTACTTATTTTCTTTACTTATTCTCCAGAATCGCTTATTCAATTCATTAAAAGCGTTTTAGAGCCATTCATTTAAAATAATAAAAATATTTTTATTCGAAAATTATGAAAGCTATACATTTCAACATCTGCACAAATTATATTATCAATGTACTACGATAATTTAAATGATAAGCGGAAAATTTCATTGTAAAAAACAGAAAACTAAACTTTATAGCCAGTTCATCTATCATTATTACAATGGCCTAAAGAATGAAAATAAACAGTCTGTAGCAGAAAAAACTTTAAAAATTGTAATTACTGTCTGCAATAGTCTAGCAATATTATAAATAAGTTAAAAGAAGATTAAGAAAACCGCAAATAATCACTAGGAAAGGGCTTGAAAAAACATGGTCAACATTTCAGACAACATTTAAAAACCAAAGCAAATTTACAATTGTTTTCTTCACATTCATAAGTAAAAACAAGCAGTAAGTACAACTTTTCACTTTTAACGGAAGGCATTAGATATAACAGAATGATTAGCATGTTGTTTCGACTAAGAAAAACGTAATGTTTCTTATTCTTGTGCTTCAATAAACACTTATCTACGGTGAAAACATGGTAGCCCTCAGTCCCTCTATCTGCAAGCGATTTCTTGCCTAAATCTTCTAACATTTAATTAAGAAAGAGTTGGGTCGATGGTTTACTGCCAAGATGATTTCCAGTGGGAAAAATTATCTCGCGTTCAAATCGTCTTTAGTGTGCTGAAATTATGCTTTGGTGCAGCTACATTGTCATCGAACAGCGGAAGCAAAAGTGATTAGAATAATTGTAGCCTAGTTTGGAGCGTCCAAACTAAGCTCTATGCCCGAACTAGCTTTCAGAAAAAAAATTATGAGTGAAGCCAGCTAAACCAGCAATCAGAAATGAAACAAAAAGTTATCAAGCGACACTGATATTTATAAAGAATATTTCAATGTTTTCAAAAAAGATGTTAAGGATTATTGATAATTAAAAATAAATTGTAAAAAACAAATAATTATTATAAATAAAGTGGATAATACGGTTAACCTTCCCCTTTATGCATTTATTACTTTTATATTATTGAAAAAGTGAAAAATTAAATATGAAATTTTGAACCTTTTGAATAAACAACTATTAATTGCATGAAGGGGAAATGCGAGCAGTTTTTTATTTTCACAGTGGATTTCTAGTTAATCTATTCTACTTCTTAATATTTATATAGGTTCTTTAAAGTTTTACATGGGTTTAATCGAATCAATATTTAATCAGAATATTTCCACAATATAAAAAATTAAGTTCATCCCATAAATCAGTAACACTGAAAGTTTATCAGCCACAAAACAAAAAAATAAATATAGGTAAGAATTTATGAGAAAATCCACATTCTGGAAGTTATACTCCGAAATTGTAAACAATTAAATAAAGCTCATTATTTCTGATTAAATTGCTTTTATTAGCTGTAGTGAGGGAATTTCGCCGGAAAGTGTCATCTGGGGAGAAAAAAATAATGTTGATCATCAGCAACGTGTGGATTTTTTAAATGACAGGTTTATTCCTTTTAGAGACACGATTCGGATTTAATGCAGTTCCAGCAATAACCACTCTACCTGCTGCCTCCTTAAATAGTACCAAATTCTACTATAAGTTGAGAAGTTTCAGATGAAAACACAAGTAGCGAATATTAAATACCTGTTCTCGTGCAAAATCTCAAGAATTCTCAAAAAAATATATCGAAAAATCAAGACAAATAGAAAACTATTTTTAACGAAAATAGCATATTCTATGCATCTAGTTAATACTTCAGCAAGCATACATATAACGCATATGTATTTAACTTTTCAGTAAGCAAAAAAAATAAAAACTAGAATGTGTTCAAACAGCGAAAGTTTTTTTATTTTTGAATGCAGAACCAACAAAAGGAAATTGAAAGTGGATCGAATTTTCTTTGTTCTGTAACAGTTCCATTGGAACATTTGGAAGAGATTTTACCACCAAAGAGTTATTTTGGAGTATTACTGGATTTCTTTCATCAGCATCACTCGGATCTTTTAATGACAGGTTTACCTCGGCGATGGGCCGAAAATGGTGCTTGAAATAAATTCTAAGAAATGCACAGTCGCCATAAATCACAGTCAAAATTCAAAAACTTTTCGCAAATTTTCTGTTGACTTTTAGTAATAATAGATAAATTTATAAATAATAGCTAATTTAATGTTACAGTTTTATTTAAAAAAACGAAATTTACAAGGCCTCTACAGAAAAATTTGCATGAAATAAACGTTTTCATCGATGGCTATAAGAGATAATCAGATATTTTCGGAAAAAAACTAATGTACTGACACTAGAAAGGAAGCCTTTTTCTATCTCGATTATGGAATTATTTAAAAATTTTAATCAATGAAATGCTTCTAAAATGGAAAAAATCGAATGCTAAATTGAAAAAAAAATTGTATGAAATTATGAGAGAATGAACTTTTGAGATAAAAATCATTAAAAGAGAAATTTTCAGCAAAATTGCCGGTTTTCTATGCAGAAGGAATAAAGCAACCTGGTAAATAAAGAGAGTGAGTAAAGGAGATAAGTGGTTGGCATTCACCATTACTGGTTAGGCTCGCCCGACTGGCTATTAGTACGGTGATATAATTTTGCCAGAGAGTCATATGGGGACAGAAATAAACGCGGGCCGCCAGTACTATCGGGATTTATAATGAAAGGTCCATTTTTGCCAAAAGCAAGCATGGAACCATAATGATTGGGATGATAATCTAAGTGACATATATTTGGCTAAGCTGCAGCTTACGAATACATGCAAATTAGGAGAGAAAAAAAATATTTTTCGATGAATGTTAACTATTGCTGGATCCACTGGTTTGCCAGACCAGGAAAATTTTATAAGGAAGTGACTTGGCAGTTGAAATACATTCGCCAAAATCACCTGAACTTTTTAAAGATATATTACTGAAATGGGACTCCAATATAGACTACTGGAGTTGCGAAATGAGAGCAATAATCCACTGCGCCATTCTACTCTTTGCACTAGTTAATAACCATAATTTAAATAATTTAATTTCTACTTCTTTTCAGTATATTAATGTTGGAAAACGTATGCCTGAAAAAGCAATCAGGAATTTGTACTCCATGGAATTCAAACTTCCTCGCTGTGCGATACATATTACACTTAATTTTAGATAAATATAATGGCTGATTTACTGTCTCATACGATATAATCAAAATGAGAAATTTCGGCTCTTTTCGACTCGACGTTCGGACACTTTACGCCCTTATAAAGAGCCTATAATTAAAAAATTTAGTTTAGCAATCCTATTAGGAAATAAAATTAAAAATATTAAAAGGGAAAAACAACAGCGCGATGGATTATAAAACATCGAATTGTGGCTGATTTGCCTAAAATTTAAAAAATTTCAAAAATTCTAAACTTCCTTCACAGTTTATTCAAAATTCTTCATACCGGTTCCGCTCTACTCTTTTGTCACTCTTTCATAAATCTTTCCAGAAAAGCAGCTGTCTCGCAGTTTCGAAAATGGTTCAGCTTTTCTTTTGCTATGCCAAAACACGAACAATTTCTATTGTATTAACATGTTTTTTTTCGCTTTTTTCGTTACACTTTATATTCGTCTAACCTGTGGTAAACAATTTTTTCTCCAGAAAATATGCCATTAAGTCGAAAATTTTCAAAAAATCTCTAAAAGTTTAAAATATTTATTAAATTTTATGTTTTAATTAAACATAATGAAATGCATAAACATTCATTAAAATATTTTATTGGACTAAAATTAAAAGAACAATCATTAAAAATGACTTGTTACCGCTCAAATAAGAATACGTAAGCCGAATAGATGCAAATGTACCTCCTAAGAGCAGTCAGTAAAATGCTGTTGCAATCCCTCAAGCAGCGCTACCTTCTCAAATCTACGTGTCTAACTCAAGCAGTTAAGGAATTTCCTCTCATCGCTTGCAAAAGAGGCCTGTAGATTATATATTTGAATCCTTCAACCACCACTTTTCTTTGCTATTTATAGGTACAATATTAATAACATTCTTATGTCGATTCGTCTGCACACTTTTTTTTCATTTACCCTTTTATGGTGGGATTTTTGCTAATAGCAATTATAATGAATGAGTTTAATTTCGGAACTAACCATCTCTACATGAGACATTGCGCACTTATGAAATTACCAGTTATAGGAAACAGTTATATGAAATCACAAGGAATTATACGAAATTTTTGATGTATTTTTAATACCCAAGGTGATTTTATTCTAAAAGCCACAGCAAATACGAGACAAGAAAATAGAGTAAGCAGGCAGTATGTTTAACATTATGGTTTCAAGCAATTCTTTCCAGTGTTCTTATTGTTTTGAGAATTCGAACTGTTTTATAAATAGAGATTCATCAAAACAAGTTATATTTATTCGATATGCAAAACTTCGATATACGGAGCCTTTTGCGAGTACGGTAAGAAAGTGTTTAACGGACAGCGAAAATTGAATTGTATTTCGGGCTTCAATGAGAGAGAACGGTGCCATAATTTAAAATGAAAAGAGTCGGTACTTTTTTCTAAAATGGCAAGTGAGTAATTTAGTAACTAATTGAATGCTTAAAATGGATTTCAGCTAAAAGAGTAATATGAAACTATTCTCTTCT